AGGGCGCCGTCCTTCTCGGCCACGAAAAAGACCGTGACGCCCCCGCGTCGGCGACGGCCCACACGGAAGCGCCCTCGGGCCAGCCCGTCGCGAACGAACTCGTGATATGAATTCGTGCGTTGTTCATAACATGGTCCATATAGATCAGAGGCCGCTGCTCGGCCTTGATCAACTCCTCGAACTCGGGCTGCGGCAGCACGAGCGAGTGGTCACGATCCAAGAGAATAAATTCGTCTCGAGCAGTCAGCCTGTCGACTAGCCAACCAAGTCGATTGCCCACTCCAGGCCATGAAACCAGATGTCGCGCATAGGATCGTAGCGGCGTGGCCTCCCCGGCATACACGAGGAGGGGTTGTCCCGGCAGCTCCCCGCAAGCCGTCCGAGACGACACTGAACAGGGCGGGCGGTGTCCAGCATGAAACCGTACCACTCGCTCGCACAGCGCCTAGTGCAGGGAGGACCTGTCAGAGGTGCCGTGCTGGACGGACGGGTACCCGGCCATCAAGTTCAGCGCTTCGATCGTCTCCCTGGCCCTCTTCAAAATACATGCAGAAGATCCAACGCGGCGACCGCAGAAAGTCAAGTCGGGGTCGCAGAAGAACTTGATAGGGAAAGCGCCATCGCCGACACGAGGGGGAGCCGCAGGATGACTTAGATGGCTCTCTGGACTGGGCACACGCTCGCCACACGTGGCCCCCGCCAGGCTCACCCCGGTGGCGAACCGTCCTTGTCCTTGTCCTTGTTCTTGTCCCTGTTCTTGTCGTTGCTGTTTCTGCCGTCGCCGCGCTTGGCCGCCTGCTCCTCGCGGAACTTGCGGCACTGCTTGGCGATCTCTACGTCCTTTGCCAGCAGGTCGGTGGCGTGGCGCGCCAGGGCACGGGCCATGGCAAGGCCGCGCCGCGTGGCGCCGCCCTGGTCTCGGCCGATATAGTACTCCAGGCCCTCGGTGCGCATGGAGACCTTCGTCTCCTCCACCAGCTGGTAGCATCGAGCCACGACCTCCATGCACGCCAAATTGGACCCGTACACCTGGTCATATACCACACTCAGAAACATAAATAAGCCCAAGAGGTCGTGAAGGTGGCCTGCCGTACTATCAGCCTGGAGCGCCTCCTCCGTACGATACTTAATGTGCCGATCGTCGGGCGCCCCGCCGTAGCGCTGCAGCCACAAAAACGAGCACTCCCCTTTCAAGAGAATCGCATCCAGAGCCTCCTCGCGCAGCTCCATGACGCCAGTACGGTAATCCAAATGTCGCTGACCGTGGGAGTCGTAGCGCAAGGGCCCTAGCGTCCGAGCGTCCCCGAGGCCCGAGTCGTCGTGCAGAGGCTCCACGGGCAGGTCAGCCAGCCTCACCGCGATGCGTTTGCCTCTCAGGGGCACGTGGATAGCGCGGTCGTCGTCGATCAGGGTGCTTTCGTGCAACGTCACCTCGTCGTCCGGCGTGATCTGGCTAAGCACCGTTTCGAGGCTGACCCAAACACGGCCCGCCTCTGGCACGTGGCGCGCCCGCGGGGTGGCAGTCCCCTGCACGCGCTGGCCAAGGGCGCCCGCAGCGGCCGGGCCACCCAGATCACCGACGGCACCGGCCGCCTCGGAGGCGGCTGGCGGCGGCGCAAGCGGAAGGGGCACGACATCGCCGAGCGGCACCTCCTGCCCGTCACGCTGGAGGTACATCAGGTCGGCCGGGGCAGGGACCTCGATACCAGCAGCCGCTGTCTCTTCCATGGCCTACACGATCCAGCCCTGGAGGTCCTCGTCGGTGGGGAAGGACTGGAACGCATAGAGCGTCCCGCCCGGTATGACCAGGTTCCCGCCCGTGCCGTCCAAGATGACGAACCGAGAGACCTAGCCCAAGCCAGCAGTCATGGCCTCAGCGTACACGACGTTGTCCAACGTGACCACGTACTAGTGCCGAGGGACGGCGTCACCCGACGCGGGCCACAGCAAAATACGCTCGTGCCAAAAGCCGGTGTCGGTAGGGTAGAACACGCCTACATGGAAACCTGGTATCAGCCTACCGCACCACCCCACCACCCCGACGGGCTGGCCGTCCTGGCTGAAGTACTGTGCCCGGCCTGCGCCCAGGTTCACCAGGGCTGCCGCCATCGCGTCGGCGACAAACTACGGGACAGGTACGGCACAGCAGGCGAAACCGGTCTTCACCACGTCCAGTAGCCAGCTGCACAGCAGCGCTGCGAGTCAGCCGAGAGCGCCGCCCACGGGCTCGCCGGCCGTTCGGGGCCCAGCGGCGGCGGCGGCGAGGAAGCCACGCCACGCGACTGGAGCAGCTGGGCCAGGTCCAGGACGCGCGCCTCCAGCGAGTCGAGGCGGGCTGCCGCCTCCTCGCACGAGGCGCTGGCCGCCCCCGAGGCGACCTCCGCCCGCTCCGCCGAGTCGGCGGCCCCCGAAGCGGCCCCCGCGGCCGCGGCTACAGCCTCGGCCGCCTCGGCGGAGAGGCTCGGCTCAGGCACAGGAGCCGATCGCAGACCAATCCAGAAGAGACTGCTTGTGAGCGCGTGCAGCGCTGTAAACACCGCGATCTGGGGGTCGGGCTGCATATGCTTGAGCCCAGAGAGCCTACGGAAAATATTGAAGACTCTCTCTGCCCCAGCTGCAAACCGAGCCTGCTCCATCATCAGCATCATCATCCTCATCATCAGCAGCAGCAGCATCATAAGCAGCAGCATCATCATCATCATCATCATCATCATCATCATCATCAGCATCATCATCATCATCATCATCATCATCATCATCATCATCATCATCATCATCATCATCATCATCGTCATCATCATCATCATCATCATCATCATCATCATCATCATCATCATCATCATCATCATCATCATCATCATCATCATCATCATCATCATCTCATCATCGTCATCGTCATCGTCATCATCATCATCATCATCATCATCATCATCATCATCATCATCATCATCATCATCATCATCATCATCATCATCATCATCATCATCATCATCATCATCATCATCATCATCATCATCATCATCATCATCATCATCATAATCATCATCATCATCGTCATCGTCATCGTCGTCATCGTCATCGTCGTCATCATCGTCATCATCATCATCATCATCATCATCATCATCATCATCATCATCATCAGCCCTCTTCCCTCCTCCCTCCGCCGTACACTTACCCGACGATCGCCCCTCCGTTACTGTCCGCCCGTGCAGCCGACCCCGACGCACCCCTTCGCGACAGCATCCGACTGCGAAGAGGCGCTGGTGCTTCTACGCCCCGGGGGGAGGCGTCATCTTATCGACCCCTGGGGATCAAGGCATCAAGATTCGAGCTTTGAGATGTTCGGGCGGATTCGGCGATTCTCGGCGGTGCCCCCGTCTCGAGATGCTGTTCAGCACATGCGCCTCGCCGAGAGCATTCCCAGAATGTCCGAATCGTCCAGAACGGCCGCCGGAGAGCCGAGTTATGGCCCGAAAACCTTAGACATGATCGCGTCGCGAAAAAGATCGCGACGGAAGGTTTCTGGCCATTTTCGGCCCCTCGAGGCCCTTGCCGGGCCCCAGGGCCGTCCAAAACGACTCGGGGTCCGGTCCCGGGGAAGCAGTTGGGACCCCAGCGAAGCGGTCCACGTCGTGAAAAAGTCTCGACGTCGGAGGCCTGCGAGGCACGGACGGTTTCGGGAGGCCCGGCTGGCTCCTGAAAGGCCACCCAGCCCTCTGCGCACGTGGCCCCTCGAGTGCTGGGGCGCCAGCTCTCGGCGGACGGGCACCCCTGATCCCCCTCCGGGAAAGCGGCCTGCCCCCACCCCTGCCCTGGAGTCTGGGCCCGAGGGTCGAGAAGCCGACATGCCTCGCCTGCGAGTCGAAGGCGGGACCCTGCTTCGGGGCGCCCCCGCACCCCAAGACGATGACGCCAGCCGCTTGCTTCTGCGGGGCAGGCCCTCCGCCTGCGGACCACCCGCCGATCGGCCTTCCTGCCGGCTCCCGCCGGCATCCCGCAGGCGTCCGCCGAGGGCGATACGAGGACGCGCCGAAGGCGAGGGAGGCCCTGCTCCGGAGCGCCCCACAGGTGAGCCTTTTTTTTATTCGGCGTTTCGACAATTGGGCGGAAAGGGGGAGACGGGTGGGGGGGTCTGGCTCCGGACCTCTGCGTAGTGCGACTGTTTGGGACGGTGCCTCCCATGCACGGGAGAGGGACTCTCCACCTGCTCGAAACAGGCGCCAAAAACAGCCAAGATCCACTCCAGGGGGCGGGGGAGGGGGGTGAGAGGGCCCGCGCCGATCGCCAAAACACTACATAAAAAGCAATCACCAGGGGCTTCTCGGACCTCCGGCGCCGCGACATCTCACAGCGCGGACCCCCAGAAGTCCAGATATGTCTATAGGCCACGGCCCCCAGGGGCGGGGCTTTCTCCCGAGTCGTGCTTTGAAGGCACAGAGGCCCAGCTAGGGCCCCGAGGGGCCGAATCTGGCCTGAAGCGTTAAAAAGCAAAGTCCGGCCCAGTTGGAACGAAATTGCGGGCTTCGCAAGACCTGGGCCCCTGGGGGCCGAAAACTTGGCGCAGATCAGATCTCCGTGCCTTTGCACTCGTGACGCGAGGAGATACGGATTCCCCTCCCCTCGGCGGAGGGGGAGCGATGGGGGTGGCCGGACTGGCTCAGGACCTTGGATAGCGAAACCGCACGCTCCTGGGCAGGACGGGCTATATACAGGCCCCTTGTCAGCGATGAGTGGGCGATTGGGGGATCCGGGCAATCCCCCCCCCGAGCTCATCCCCCCCTCACCTTCCCCCGGAGGTCGAGACACGTCTAGACGACTTCTCTGGGGCAGGCGTCTCGTCATCCCGAGGCGTCCCCGAAGGTCCCAGGCCCTGGTGAGGCCCCCCAGTAGGCCGGAAACTTTGGAGAGCAACATCCCGCCGTGCTCTGTTGGATCATGGCACAAGGAGGTCTGGGTACCCCTCCTCGGCGCTGCCGTCCAGAGAGGCGCGCGGGGCGCGCCTTCACCGACGCCGCGGCCGGTCGCCGCGCTGCCCCGGCCGCAAGGCTGGCGCGGCGGGCCAGCGCCGGAGCTGCAGCGCACAGGGTGGACGCCATCACCTGCCGCACGAAAGGCGAGAGGAGAGGGCAGATGCAGGGGAGGAGAGGAGGGAGCCCATGCAGGCCACACGCACACACACACAAACTGTTTGGCGTCGAGGGGCTACGCGCGCGGCGTCGCGGCGTAGAATACAGACACACACACACACATGCACACACACACACACACACACATTCATCCCTCCAAGGCGCGGCTGAGTCCAAACCGCGCATCGGGTCGCGACTACACAAACAATATAATCACGTTTGGCGGTCGCGGCCTCGAAGCGCGGCGGCGAGGCGGAGTAAGTCGGAAGCAGCGAAGCGGGTGCGCGCGGCTGGGCCGTCAAGCGGGATCGCTTTGGACCGCCCCCACGCACATATATACACACACTTTCCTCCGTGGCCAGTCAGCGGGCCTCGAGCTGAAAAGGCGGATTACGATGCGGAGAAGTTGACAACCTCACTTGGGATCGTGAACAAAGCTGGGAGCCCCAGACGCAACAGACACACACACACACTCCTTCTCCTCCCTGGTCACACACGCGCGCACTTCCCCCGATATGTCACGAACAAACAATGGCGCGAAACGACAGCACGCTGGCTTAGAACAATGTCCAAAGCAATGAATGCGATAAATGCTCTGAGCCGAGGAAAGCGTAACGAATTCCCCAGATCACTTGATTTCCCGCCTCGCGCCGCGCGAAACGCGTTTACCTTCACGCTCTTGCGCGGCCTCCTGGAGCAAGGCAGCTTCTCGGCCTGGACCGTGCTTTGCGACGGAGATTCCCGCCCCTACGGGTGAACAAGATTGCGCTCGGGAAAGAATTGCGGGTAAAGTGCGCTGTAGCCGTCCGAACTGTGTGGATGACCAAAGCAAGCCTGCTTACACCGCGCCCTCAAACGAAAACGCATTCATCAAAACGCGAATTCGTTGGGTAAACGGGCGCTTGACCTCCTTACTTTTCTATATACATATGTTTCTTTCTCTCTTTCTCTCTCTCTCTCTCTGTCTCTCTCTCTCTCTCTCTCTCTGGTAGTGCGAAGAGCCACGGTGTAGAACAAGACGAATGGTGAGAGCGGATGGGGAGGAGGAGGAGAATGCTGGTAGGAAGTGCGAGAGTGAACGTGCGCGCACAAGGCGTACTTTGGCACTGCTGCCGCTCTTCGTGCCAGCGCGGCCCCTGCCTTCACTAGGGTTGCACGCGGGAGCGTTTACAGTCCGGAGCGTTTGCTCAGCGTGTCTTGGCGGCGGCCCCGGCGACACACATTCTGCCCTGCGAGCTGATGACGTGTCGGCTCCGCTTCGCGGGGCGTGCTGCTGGGCAGAGCTCGGGACGTTGACGCCCCGGGGGCTGAGGAGACGTGCTTGCCCCACGCGTGCTGCGCCGAGGCGTCGTTGGCCAGACTGGCGGCGCGCCGCGCTCGGCAAACGTTCCTGACCCTACCTCCGCCCGCCTGGGCAAAATGATCCTGGAGTTCGGTGCTGGTGGTAATCGCTCGGCCACCTGAGAAGCCCGAGTATTACCACCATCACCGAGGCCTGAATCATCTTCCCTCGGTGGAGTCCACAGCTAATACTGGTGCTGGTGAGACAACCTCCAGGCGTCTGACTCCCCCTTCGCGGGCAAAGCGCCTATCCGTATCCGCGGCCTCACAAGCCAGGCCTCTGAGCCGCAACCCGCGGATACGGGGCGTTTTGTCGCAAAGGCCCCGCGCAGAACGTAACCGTGCGACCGCGTATCCGCGGGGATCGCGCCACGGAATCCAGACCGCGAGGGCGCGGGTACGGACATGTTCGCCGCTCGCGACCCCCCCTCCCTCCCTCCGCCGCCTCACCTGCTGAGATCCTGCCCTGACTCCCAGGGAAGCGCGGGCGTTTTGACAGCGCCCCCGCACCCCAGGGCGGGAAGCCGCTCCCTCTGGCGGCCTGCGAAACCCCAAGGGCCCGACCCCGAAGCAGCTCTCTCCCTCCCTCCCTCTCTTGCGACTGCGAATCGGCTGGTATGCTGGGGGCCCGAGGATTGCGACGCATCGCCAACACATCAAACATAGATCGGCGATGCATCGGCAACGTCGGCGATGCACCTGCGCCGTCGTCGTGGAGAAAGCCGGGCTTCACATCGAGCCGCATCGCCGATGCATCGGCGATGCGACACGATGCACCGACCCCATATGTCGGACTCTGTGTGGGAGGCCTGGACATTTCCCCCCATTCCACCCCATCCTGAATGGCCACGTCCCCTGGTCGAAGACGCCGAAAAATTTAGAGTTTCGCGGCGGCGGCCCTTGCGACACGCAATGCCTTGCAAGCTGATTGCGAGTCGCTCTGCTTCGTGGGACGACGAATGGCTGGGAAGAGTTCGGAACGTCGACGAGTGGGGACCGGGACGTGCTTAGCGTGTCGCGCCGAAGTGCTGTGGGCCAAAACTAGCGGCACGGCACGCCCAGCAAACGTTCCTGACCATAGTTGGTCCGAACCTTGAGATTCACAACCGCCACTCCTCCGAACTGCCTCCGCCCAGCCCCACTCCCACGTCTCCGGCCCCGCTCTGAGGCGGACGAAACGGGGGGGGACAGCAGAACGGCGACGGCAGCAGACCAGCTATGTGTGGCAGCAGCTGGTCTTCCCAGCCTCCTGAGGCGCCAGCGGCGGCCGTGCATCGATGTAGGAGCACGCAGCGGCGGATCCGAGACTGGCTGCACACACCGGCGTTCGTGCCCCCCCTTTCCCCCAGAGGCCCGACGTCTCGATTTTCTCTGATGCGCGGCCCCAGGAAGAAGTCACGGCCTGCTCTCCGGGGCAAGCGCTGCATCCTGGCTCGCTCTCGGACGGCCCTGGAGCCCAGCAAGGCCCCGCGAGGCCCTGCAGACGCGAGGCTCTGAGGAGCGTCGTGAAGAGGCCACGGCGCGGGGAGTTCTGGGCTTTCGTCCGCCCCAGCCCCCGCCCCGCAGAGAGCGGTGGCCTCGGCCCGCTTAGGGGCTCGGGGGGCGGCCCGGGCGCAGAGGGCGGGCGGCCGCCAGAAACAGCTCGTGCTCAGGGGGGGCGGCACGGCACGGGGCGGCGCGCGGCGAGGGGCCAGCAGGCCATCGGGGGAGGCAGCGGGGAGGGAGCAGCGGGCGGCAGGCAGCGGGCGTAAAGCAGCACCAGCCCGGGGTCGGGGGGGTTTGGCGGGCGGGGGGGGGGGAAGGCCCTGGGCAAGAGCGGCCTCTGGTGCGCGGCTCGCAGGTCGCTGCGTGCGAGGCGGCGGTGGCGGCCTGCGTGCGCGTGCTTGCCTGCCCCGCACCACCCGAAGGCCGCGCACCAGAGATCCCTCCAGCGGAAGGGTCGCTCCTGCGCGGCGCAGAGAGGCCGGGCGTCGGGGCCGAACTAGCAGGGACGCCCGCTCCATTAGCTCTATCACCACAATTGATGTTCGTCCGCCCTCATGCTTCACCTCCCCTTTATCCTCCTCCTCCTCCTCCTCCTCCTCCTCCTCCTCCTCCTCCTCCTCCTCCTCCTCCTCCCCCGCCTCCTCCTCCTCCTCCTCCGCCATTACTCTCGGGGAAGGAGGGGCCTGAGCTATCGGCCGCCAACTTGGGAGTGGCAGTGCGGTTGAGGAGCCATCAAGAATGGTGGGCCCCCGCGTCCGCAGCAGCAGCACTGGGATGGGGCCCCCCCGAGGCACGCGCGCACGGTGACGTCCTCGTTCCTCCTCCGCCTTTCCTTCCCCCCCCTCTCGCCTCGCTATCCAGGACGCGCGGTGCGGATAGCCCGCCAGGCTAAGATCTGGTCATCAGAGGTTCTTGAATTCAAAAAACTTGTTTTTCAATTCAAAAAACAACGCTTGAATCCATAAACAAGTTTTTTTTTGATTCGAAAACTGTTTTTTTGAATTCGAAAACCGCATGGCTGTTTGAATTCGAGTGCCTGTCCCGTTCCACCTGCGACGTGGGCGGCAGAAGCGGGAAAAAACACGGAGCAGAGCCCAACGCCGGCAGCTACAGCCCTCGGAGAACAGGCGAAGAGCTCGAGCACGAGGCCGGCAGCGGGGGAGAGCGCCAGCGCCCGGCACCCGGCTGCGGGCTGCGGGAAGTCCCGCCTCTCCTTCACCTCCTCGCACGTCGCTGCGAACCGAGTCCCGACTCCTCAGCGCCTGCTCGAAGCTCGGGCCACCTGAACCGTAGTCAGGGGCACGGCCTACTGCGCCTGCTCCTCGCTGATGGCCCGCGGGGGCACGAAAAGAGAGCGGAGGTTGACAAACAGGCCTTCGTCTCCTCCTCCATGGCCTTCATCTCCTCGATCCGCTCCCGGGCCTGCTCGCGGGCCCTCTCGCCGCCCTCCTCGAACCTCCACGCCTCCGAAAAAAACGCATGGCGCGTGGAGTTCGAGCCCGCTGTCCTCGGGAGGGCGAGCGGCGACGGCGAAGGACGAGCCGGACGTCATCAGCTGCAGTGAGACGACAGCGAGCAGCGAGCACGAAGGCGACGAGACGGCGAAAGACGAGCCCAAACATCGCCAGTTTCAGCGCGGCGACGACAAGCAGTCACCGCGAGCGTGAGCGAGGGGACGGCGAAGGACGAGCCCAATGTCATCAGTTACAGCGCTGGGATCAGGGCATATCCAACGGCGGCCTCGCGTCACTTGGCAAAGGCGAGCAGGGGCAGCAGGCTCTAGCGCTACTCGACGAGAAGGTGAAGGCGAAGCGAAAGCCCGATGTCACCACGCACAAACCTGGGATCAGTGCGAGCGAGCAGGCCGAGACCCCATCCTGCGAGAAGCGGGAGGCGAAGCGCGAGCCAACACTAGTCACTGACAGCGCCGGGAACAGCGTGCGCGAGAAGTGGAAAGCGAAGCTGGAGACCAAGGTCGTAGTCGACTCTGCCGTGCAAAAAGTGTGCGAATAAGCGCGGGCAGTGGCAGCAGGCTCTTGCGCTACTCAACAAAAGGTGGAATGCGAGACAAAAGCCCGACGTCATCAGCTACAGTGCTGAGCTGGAGCCCGAAGGAGACGGCGGCAACGCTGGGCACAGCGCGTGCAAGACAGGCGAGCAGTGGAATCGAGCGCTGTCACTACTCAACAAGAGCAGGAAGGCGAAGATGGAGCCCGATATCATCAGCTATCCACCGCTACACTGCGAGAAGTGGGAGGCGAAGCTGGAACCCGAGCTGGTCAGTAACAACGCTGGGAACAGCGTGTGCGACACGGGCGAGCTAGAGCAGCAGGCTCAGCGTGATTATGCGAAGGTGCAGGCGCCTCGGACGCCGTCCTGCGAGAAGTGGGAGGTGAAGGTAGAGCCCGATGTCATTAACAGCTACGCTGTGCCGCAGGGGGTCGGACGAGCTCTCCGCCACATGGCAGAGATCAGCTCGTGCGAGAACACTTCGGTGATCTTAGGGCCAGGGGGGTGCTCAGCTACAGTGCGGGGATCGGGTCGTGCGAGAACCAGGGCAGTGGCAGCAGGTTCTGTTGCCGCGGGGGTCCGACGAGCCATTCTCTAAAGAGCAGAGTTCAGCTCGTGCGTGAGAGAAGTGCGGGAAATCTGCTTCCTGGTTGGCTGGCGCGGCGCAGGGGACGGCCAGAGGCGGCCAGCTGGCCCACGGCGAGAATCCATGGGGCCTCGCGAACCGCATGACCCGCTGAACTCCTGTGAACTCCTCCTCCTCCTCCTCCTCCTCCTCCTCCTCCTCCTCCTCTTCCTCCTCCTGCTCCTCCTGCTGCCTCCTCCTCCCTCCTCCCCCTCCTCCTCTCCTCCTCCTCCTCCCCTCCTCCCTCCTCTCCTGCTCCGCCTCTCCTCCTCTCCTTTCCCTCCCACCTCATCCTGCTCTCTCCTCCTCCTCCTCCTCCCTCCTCCTCCTCCTCCTCCCTCCTCGCTCCTCCTCCTCCTCCTCCTCCTCCTACTCTTCCTCCTCCTTCCTCCTCTCCTTTTCCTCCTTACTCATTTCCTGCTCCTCCGCCTCCTCCTTCTTCTCCGCCTCCTCCTTTTCCTCTTCTCCCTCCTCCTCCTGTTCCTCCTCCCCCCTTCCGAATTATTTCTATCACTCGCAGTCTCCTCATTTTTTGAATATCACGATTACTTGTAGTAGTGTGATTGCCATTCATGTAGTTATCCGTCCTCGTAATATTAGATGTTCATAATTGCGGTGGTATGCGTATATGTGTCCTTGCGACCGTCCCAAGATTAGTGTCGTCTTCTCATTCGTAGCATCAACCATGGTATTGTTACTCTTGTTTTTGATACTGGTATGAGTAGTCGTGTGCGTATTCGTGCTAGTGTTGGTCTTGGTGTGTGCGAA